TTGAAACACTTAATAATTCACACTTTTAACCTACTACCAGGTACTCTTAAATATTTACAGCAATATTACCTATAACTAGTAAGTTTTACGGCTTTTCAGTTGATTTTACGAGAATATGAAATTTGGTCCGAGCAATCTACACGTGTCAGTCTGACATCTCATATGTAAATAAGAACGCGGGCGCGCAGTGCATTTTGGTTGAAACAGCTTCCCCGCACGAAGAAGGAAGGCGTTTACAAGCYAATGTTCCAGGAAGTAACGAAGGAAGCAAAATAACAAATAGAAACCTTCCGTTCTGCTACTTCCAATCACCGCTTTCCTCTCGCTAAGTATCTGCGCGCATCTGAAAGACAAAAGAATTATGAAAAAATCATTTCTTTGATTCTAACACTTATTTTCATGGCCACTCTTTGAAATACAATCATTGCCAAAATGCTAGGAAGTGGAAGTGAATTTCCTTATTAGCAACAATTGTAGATATTGGTAGCCTCCTTTGCAGACGGAATTATCGGTCATAAGTTTCCTCGCGTATGACCGATACTAATAACGTCTGCAAAGGAGGCTATGCAAACATACCCTTCAAATTAACTTTAAACATTTTTAGAATGGCAAGACAGTGAGGACTTCATCATATAGACCTTAAACAACAAGTCTTTTGAAATCATTTTATTGTGTATGCCACAGGATTCACTACAACATGAATCTACAATATCATGGACTACAAGAACACTGGTAGTTAACGCTATCACTATCTATATAACATACAGACCTTAAATRATAACTAACAAAACTATTTTGTCATTAATGCTATGTTTATATTTTACAGTGCTTTGGTATGAAAGATAATGGTAATCACAACTAATCAAAACACAAGTTTCAAAATACAGGCTGTTGGAGAAAACTTAACAGTGTAGAAAGAGCATTCTGGTGGCTTGTAATAGGACAATTAGCGAGGAACACAAGCCCTTTTGACAAGAAGTTCGAGACATTTTTTCAGAAAACCTTTTTCCAGACAATGTAATGGTAAAAATCTGTTTCCAACAGCCTAATAAATAGTCTCCTTTGCAGCCTACCCTTCTGTAGGACTTCCTGTCCCTTTGGGGAGAGACAAGAAGTCAGACAAAAGGATAAGCTGTGATGGAGACTACCTAATAAAAGCAACCTCTTTCCAACAACCTGTCTCAAAACCAACATTACCAACAAACATTTTCCAACAAACTCTTTTTACTTGTGTTCTGGTAAGTTGTGAACCTCTTGAGTTCTTCAGTCTATTCAATAAACTCAAGTTTAAAAGTCCAAGCCCACTGYCATGGAAGCTTGTTGATTGGAATACTAGGAATGACAATTTTGATTCCAGTTGGTTCGTTGTGACTCCATGACAACTCACTACCACCAAGTAAGGTCACCATGGTACTGTTGGTGGGGGCAGGCACTCCAAGTATTAGAGTACCAGAATCTGGCCATTCCAGTGAAATGGCATAGATCACTTTCTCCTTCTTGGTGTACCTTAAAAAGAGACGTGAAGTATTTATAAACATCATGTGTAATCGAATTGTGATCATCCCTCTATCATTGTGCCATAGTAACTGTGCTATGAAGCCAAATATATGAAATGATGAATTGGCTAAATTGATTGATTGATTAATTAATTGATAGTTGACTCATCAACTGATCAGGTTATATGCTAATAGTCGACTTTAGATATTTTGCATTATTATGATTTTGCAATAAAATRGAAATATAGCTGTCATTACGATCTTCTGTACATAATTCAAAAGTTGAATTTGCACAGTATGCTTTCCATCCTTGGATTATCACTCGTCTTACTATTAGATATTTTGGTTCAGTGACCATGCACAAAAGAATTGCAGACTAGGCTCCGGGGAAATAAATGAATAAATCAAGATTATCCATGTTTTCCCCGGAGCCTCGTGTGCGTTCTTTTGTACATAGTCATCGAACCAAAATATCTAAAGTTGACTATTGCTGGTTATCTGATTGGTTGATTCATTAATCGAGTCAATGATTGATAACTGTTATTTGCTATTGATAGAATGATGGGTTGATTGATTGAATAAACATTGACCGACTGACTGAAAGATTGAAATATTGATTGGTTTCTTACTGATTGATMGATTTTTTTGTTGCTTGACTGCTTAAATTAAACACTTGAAGATTGATTTAATGAGTGATTTTTAATTAAATGCCCTTGATTGACTGATTGATTGATTGATTGATTGATTGATTGATTGACTGACTGATTGATTGATTGATTACCAATATATCTGATGTTTTGTATGACTGAATAAATGATTTGATCTAAAACCAACTCACCAAATGTTCTTGGTAATTGTATCATTCTGTGCCTTAGGCCAGGGAACAGTACTGTAGATGGCTTCACCATTGACATTCAACCACTCTCCCATCTGAAGCAACCTTTCCTGGAATACAGGAACAATGACACCATCTGCATTGGGGCCAATATTGAGCAACAAGTTACCGCCACAGCTGTACGAAAAGTTTTATAAATAAAACAATTAGTGAAATATAATACTTTAGACAATAAATTGCAATTTCAGGAAAATTATATATTTTTGTTTAATAGCAACAAAAACAACAATGAATGTTCTTTTCTAAAGTTTGAAAAAGAAAGCTTGCAGTAATAATTGCAGAGCATCAATGAGTGGCAAGTGAAATAGAATACCTCACCTTACAGTTGATACAAGRTGTGKAATAATTGRCTCAATAGAATTGACCTCATTGAGTTTAATGTGTCTTCTGTAACCCCATGATCTCCCYTCCACTTTAAAGCAATTCTCCCATTTATGATTCACCAGTTTGCCTGCATATCAACAAAACAGGTTTTCTATTATCAACATTGGGTATGGATACATATCATTTACTTCACTGACACTAACCTGGATTGTACTGATCATGACAAGTATAGACATCACCATGGTGACACGAAACACCTTTACCCCAACGATCATTGACTACAACTGTGTCTTTGACTGGACTAAAACACATACAAAAAATAAAATGACTTAAACTAAAATTGTTTTATTGTGGCTATGGCTTGTTCATTGAATACCTTTCATTATACAGCCAGGCAATGAATTCTTTACTAGTCCAGTAATCTGCACTTGCGCTTTCGTCACCATCTGACCAAACATACTCTGGTTTGAATCGCATTACAATGTCCACCAACTGGTGTTGCACAATGTTCTGTAAGAATTTCCAAGGAAAATATGATGAAACAATAATAAAGGAACAAAACATTCCAAATTGTAATAAAATCTTCTTAATAAGCCATTTGCATCAAATTCGCACACAGTATAAAATCCGCCATACTGGATGACAATTAGTACGCACATGGCTATAAAAATAATCTTTAGTGAACCAAGGAGAAGATATTTTGCTTTTTGATAAATAGTAAGGAGCTTATACATTGTAATGCAAAATTAACTCTCTTAGTTGACCTACATTGTTTTTTAGCAATATACATTCTTAATTTGTAACATGTGACCAACTGATACAAAAGTCCTTCCTTTTACCAGTATGTATTTCTATCCACATACCTTTACATATTCTTGAGTTGTAAAGTTATTTGCTTCATCGCTAAGAAACAGTGGATTAAACCATTCATATAGAGAATGATACAATCCCAGCGTAAGGTTTGTTCTATTTCGTAAAGAATTTGCTAAGTCACCTGTAAAGAAAATGTGATAAAGTAATTCACCATGATTGAAAAGTGTTGGGTTTTTGATAGTGACAAATCTTTTGGAACTAGTGAGGCTTGATTCATGCACCTCAAGCTTGCAGAGCAAGTGTTCTACATTTAACCACAGTATAAAGGAATCATACAATTTGGTTACGGAAGATTGTAGTTTTAATTAAAACAATAAACAGAATTTATGGTTAATGACAGCATAAGACTTAACAAATCGAAATCACTTTTCTATGGTCTATAACGCTTATCGACAATGAAAATGGCGTCAGAAAATGATAAAAACTCGCTATGCTCGTGGTTTCACTGCCAAGTTTTGATCATTTTCTGGCGTCATTTGAATTCTACAAGTTATGGTAAAAAACAAATAGACCTACCAACAAGGTCTCTGTGGGGGCCGTTATCAACAGAGTTCCAATTCCAAGACACATTAGACCTCCAATTTGTCCAGCCCTCATGGTGCTTAGTCGTTAAGACAATGTACCTGCAGATATATTCATTCATCAGACCATTAGTATATTAATACATTCTGTACAGTTGTGCAATTTTAAATCCTTAAATTAAGCACATAAATTATATCTAGTAGAGTGAATTTGTAGCAGACYCAGTTGAACAGTGCTCAATACACATTAGTACAGAGTAAAAAAAAATGATATCTATACAACCAGCCTTTCACTATCTATACAACCAATCCATTCACTACTTTCAAAAATGGCYCATTATGTCATGTTCACCACGGCACTGGGTACGTATACGAAGCACTGAAACGAGTTCTCAAAGGCCAGCCTCCYAATACTAAACTTCCATGGTGTCTTGCAAGAGTGTTTTTGTCATAAAAACATACCAATACATCTTTCAAACTTTTGGACACTACCTACATGCGATCTTTGTGGTYATTTCTAGATGGAAGGCCTTTGAGGTCTRGTTTCCATGATTCGTCAATAGATATTGGAGGTRGTGAACTACCGCRATTTTTGAAAGTCATARATAGTTCCTTACTTTGCTCCAGACTTTGCAAACAAATCAACCCATTCATCTGGATCATAGAACTGAGCTGTGAACATCGGTGCAAAATCGGCATATGAAAATCCAGGCTTGTAGTTATCTTTCATGAATTTTACATACACTGGATTGAACTCTTTCTGCCATCTCTCCCAAAACCARTCTGAACCAAATCCTGGCACAGAAAACACACCCCAGTGGATGAAGATACCAAACTTGGCRTCGTCATACCATTGAGGGAGAGGACGTTTYTCTAGGGAGTCCCATGTAGGGWAGTACATGGCAGAAACTGCTGTGAAACACACGCACAAGAATGCCAATGCAGCAWAGCTGGRCATTGTTAAGCTAGATMCTGAAAATGTAATACAGATTAAATGAGTGAAGGCTCCTTTCAGATGTCGATCTTTTGTCGAGTCTAATCTAATAGACCAATCCCACATTCGATTGGATGAATACGAAACAATGGTTTTATTTCGAGGCTGGAGTTTTATCTTTTGTCAAAAAACTCCAGCCTCGAAATGAAGCCTTTGTTCTGTGTTCATCCAYGCGAATTCGGGATCGGTCTATTGGTAGAGTTGAGTTTATGAGCATTTTYAACTCTGAATTTATTGACATTAGTAGTTTTATCCAGATGGACAAACTTACTATAATCTGTAAATATCAATCGATGTAGACTGCAAACTTCTCGAGAACTACATGTAAACAATTAGATTAGACGCGGAAAAGATCGACGTCTGAAACGGGCCTAAGACTTGTCAGTGCTTACCCATACTAGTCTATTACGTAAGATGTTATGCAAAAGTTGCAAATCTGAATCCACACGACTATAAAGTTGCCCAATWGAATTCAAATTAAGGAGTTTTTCACATRTGCATGAGCCAGCAGATCTAGTTTCAATTTCAAGTTAACTTATTCAAACATTTTGGGCACGAGAAGCACCCTAAAATGAGCACYACKTCGTGCGACGKACTGACCAAAAATATGATCATCTCTCAACTAATAAATAGGYYAAKAAATATGTCCAGGTTTTCACTAATATTTCATGTAGGTTACGAGCAAATACATGTGAAATCTTGATACAAACTTACCGTGTTCAAAATTTTCTTTGACAAGRRTAATATAATCACATGATGGACCACACAATGTGKTGCGCAATGTATCATGGTAGACACAGGTAGCCCAGGCAATAAAGAGACGTGGAACTGTGTATCGCTTTTTCTCTGGGAATTTTGTAATTCTTTTGGGAAAATATTCTCATTTTTCGTATCTATTCACAGATATGATTTGCTATAAGATTCTCCTTAAAAGCAAGCGACATGTATATTTTTTATTTGCTACATTTAAAAAAAAAAACACTTCTTAATCCCAAAAGTCATTGAAAATTCATAATAATTAAACATTTCACGCAGAATCGTTTCATTAACTTCTTTATTTAAACTTGATTTTTGCGTATGTTTATTTGGAATCAAACACTTTCTAAATGWTTCTCCATTAAACTACACTACTCTTTTCCGTGCTCAACAAGACTCAATTTCACCCATTTTCCCACTAYAATKAAACGAAGAACATGAATCAGCCAAAAGAACATATGAATCAAAAMAATTGCTGCGAAAATACCACCAAACKACCCAACAGCAAACCCAGGATTGTTGGCGTAGTCYATGATATRATAAATAGGCGTTTTACTTATAAATCCATAATACACCGCAGTAACAAGTACGTAGASAGCTGAAAATAGAATTGTATAAACAYCGTGRAAAACCCGCCATGGCATTGCGCTGAGCGTGTGCTCAATGAACATAAACACAGAGTTTAGAATGTGGAAGTTGATGTTTCTTAGAGAAARAGGTTTCCCTTTGACTTTTTTGTAAATAAACCCCCAAAAACARAATGTAACAACAAWAGCAATAGTACTAGAMATGTTATAGAGCAGCCATAGCACTTTATYGTACCATTTCGTCTTTCCTTCACCTTCTGTTCCTTGGGGAAGAGGCTTATATTCTTGTGTTGATCTGCTTTTGATGTACGAAGACACTGTGAGAATRACTGACAACAGAAAMTAGAGTATCATKYCGACGTAGCCCCACGCCGTAAGATGGAAGATTAACGCCATGTTGAATGGGCTCCCATGTGCGTTGGCAGCAACCAGTTCATGAATTACCYACGCGACGCTGTAAAGAAGGAAAACTGCTCGGTAGATGATAAGCATTGGTGCAGGAAACCACTGAAATAATAACAAATGATTACTTGATAGAGCTAAAAAGTTGTAACGATTATTGAAGTTAAGGCTCGTTTATCTTCTCCCATCTCATTCCGGCTGAGTTGCGCAAATGCTGTCGCCGTATCATTTAGTTAGGTTACATAAATTAATATCTACGCAATTCTACGAAGAGTTTCAAGATA